ATGGGCGCGGCCCTCCGAGAGGCGTAAGTTTCCCCACTCCCGGAGCGCCTTTCTCCCTTCTGATTCCAGATGTGGCTGCGATTGGGGTGGGACGCATGGCAGGCGGCTACTTCTGCGCAACAGTGAAACCCCATAACCCCAACCTAGCCCGGACACTGCCTTTAAACACAGTGGACGAACAAAATGGGCCCTTCTAAAATTTTGGTGGAGTTAAGTAGTAGACCCCCTAAGTATACCGTAGCCCAAACCTCACTCGCTAACTCATGCGCCAAAAATGCGCTTCGAAACTCTACCAGCCCGCCCACTTCCATTAGGTGGGCGTCATGGATGGAAGTTTGAAGCGCGTTTCCAGGACACAGCGCTTGAATTGGCAGGTGGGGTCTGGGCTACGGTGTACTTAGGGTGTCTACTACCTAACTCCACCAAAATCCGACAAGGGTCCATCTTGCCTGTTCACTGCCTTTAAGGAAGAAACTATGTTGATTGTAACTGAGCAAAAAGAATGAGACGAAAAAAGCAAGCTGTATGAAATAATTGAATTTTGGTTGTGGTATTTGGAGGGAAAGGATAGATAGTATATTGTCTACCTGCAAAATTTTAGCTTTCCTTTTCAAGATTAGTAGAAACGAGATGTAAACGCCGTTTGAAGATAGATAGCAGACAGATACGTTTTGTAGCAATGGTGCAGATGTTGGGAGCGAATTCGGGTTCTCAAACTGATACTGAGTCGTCGAACAGAATGAATACGGGGTCACCTTTGGATACCGAGTCATCGCACATGGAAGCACCAAACACAGGTAAGTATCAAGCAATTACTTCACATCTAAAAATTTTACTTCAGAAAATGAAATTAACCATGAGAACGAACAGACAAATATGCTCACTGCTGCACCAGATTCTATGCTCACTCCTTCCCCGGATTCGCAGACGGGCGGTGATGTCGAGACCTATCAGTAAGGACAAACATACAAGATTTGCTTTTCAAAGGTTGCTCGCTTTTCTTATAGGACAAGAAATGAAACGGTGCCTGAACAGCCACCACTGGATGTCGACCTGCAAAGGCCGCATCTCAAAACGACCGATCAGTAAGGACAAACATATAAATAGATTGAAAGCATGAAAG